GCAACTGGTAAGAATCACCCAATAAGCCCTCTGCCCATGGGGGCTGATTCAGGGTACTGGTTAACCGGTGCCCAGTAAGCATCACCCAGCCGTTTACTTCCCTATTCCATACATGGACATAAAAATTAAGGGAACAATGATCTTTACCAGATACTCAGCATTTGACTGCAGCACAAGAATTAAAACTTCATGTGTGCCTGTGACCAGTAGAGGCTGCTACAGTCACAACTCAAGCAGCTTCTCCTATCCTCCCATCATTTCATTTTCAAAGATAAACTTATTGAGGAAGGGGGAGCAACTGATCGAGCTATGCACAATATTAGAATCTAACAAGCAGAGTGCAAAAAGCTCCTGAATTACCACCAATCAGCCTAAAGCCATGGTACCTGGAGGACATTTATTCCCATATTACCAGGGAAACAGACTCAAGTCAATGAACAAAGAAGCTACAAAACATAGTACTTAAACAGAATAAAAATTGGTTTCCCCCATCCAAGCTGCAAGGCAAAAAGTATCAAAATGATATTTAACTGGAAGTGTGTTTAAACAGACTTTTAACTAAGCTTCGCAACTCTCTTTAACAGGCCATTGTAGACAGGCTGTTCACCAGACACACACAACTGTTATGGCTGAACTTGGAACAAAATTAGTCTGCTGTGTTTATCTGCAGGAGACTGAGATGAGGAGACAGGGGTAGAGGTTTAACAAAGAACCAAATCGTATACATGTAGAACACACGATCCTGCAACTGCCAAGTAGAGTCTCTCCACACCCACCATTTGCTTCCTGTGGCTAATTATTAAAATAAGAAGCCACTTCCTTCAACCCTCCCTGTACAAACACAATACAGGAAACTCTCAACATCAGCACAAAGTGCACTACAGCCATGCAACACTAAGATCCACTCTCCATGGTGGGAAACAGATTGGGAGGTCAGTTCCAAAAGGGGCATTTCCTAACATACCCTGTGAATTTGCTCAATTAACATAATTCTGTAGCTTTGAAATAGGACTTCAGCTAAAAGTCAGCCTGGTCCCAGGAGAATGGTGGAAGGAGAGAAACGGTCCAGGTGAAGGAGGAGGAGGAAGAGGACTTTTCTAGTCCACTCTGACAAAGGTAACAACTTTGCACACTCCAAAATCTGCTAGTAAAAGTAAATGCACAGCATATAAGAATAGCTAGGATGGCTTCGGAAAAAACCACTCAGGCACACATGCAGTGAACAACAACTCCCTGATGCTGCTCAGGACCAAATTTACACTAACACCCCCCCAGTCCTCAACGAGAAGCTTTCTATCTGCTACTCAAGATACACAAACCTGGAAATCCCGGACAACCCATCATCTCAAGTATTGGCACACTTACAACAGGATTATCTGGCTATCTCTACTCCCTTCTCAGACCCTATGCTACCTCCGTGACACCACTGACCTGAGGAAACTTCAGAACATCAGTGTTAAGTCACAGGGATAGATAGTTGCTTTTATTAATCTCACTACAAAGACAAACTCAATACTTCCAAATGATTACACAACTACTACAAAATACAAATCTCACTACATCACTACCATTACAGATAAATACACAACTACTGCAAACTAATCCAAATAATTAGCATAGGCAAAGCAATACATATAAATGAGCAACAGGCACTTGGAAATGCTTACGCTCGTTCAGATCTGCAGGGAATTCTGTTCTGGTCACCTCACACCAGGCCGCAGTGGACATGGTTCCAGCTGGGGGACTCAGGGCACCTTCCGAGGGAAAAGGTCTCTGGTGGAATTCCCACGGGGCGGGTGCTCTGGCAGGTTTTATACTCTAGCTGTTTACCGGGTGTGCATGTACCTGGCTCTACGCCATTCTTATCACTCTTATGGGCTGACACCGAGGTCAGACTTGTTTACTGCTCAGTAGTTTCCCAGCTCAAGGCATGGGTTAGAGCTGATAAAGCCCAGCTGCTGTTTGTGCTTTCAGGGTCCCAGGCTATGCTAAGCTGGGTACAGCAGGGATGGAAACTCCCATCCTAGGCCTGCTAAGCTGCAGAACCCACATATGATTCTCATGTGACAATCAGTAATCTACCTGAAAATACCATCCTGGCCACTATGGACGTAGAAGCCCATTACACCAACATTCCACATGAAGACAGATAACAGGCCATCAGAACATCATCCCCGATGACAGCAATGCACACATAGAATCATAGAACCATAGAACGGGAAAAGACCTCAGAAGGTCATCAAGTCCAGCCCCCTTCTCTAGGTAGGACCAATCCCAACTAAATCAACCCGGCCAGGGCTTTGTCAAGCCGAGACTTAAACACCTCTAGGGATGGAGACTCCACTACTTCCCTAGGTAACCCATTCCAGTGCTTCACCACCCTCCTAGTGAAAAAGTTTTTCCTAATATCCAACCTGGATCTCTCCCACCTCAACTTGAGACCATTGCTCCTTGTTCTGCCATCTGTCACCACTGAGAACAGCCTTTCTCCATCCTCTTTGGAACCTCCCTTCAGGAAGTTGAAGGCTGCTATCAAATCCCCCCTCACTCTTCGCTTCTGCAGACTAAACAGACCCAAGTCCCTCAGCCTCTCCTCATAAGTCATATGCTCCAGCCCCCTAATCATTTTGGTTGCCCTCGGCTGGATCCTCTCCAATGCGTCCACATCCTTTTTGTAGTGGAGGGCCCAGAACTGGACACAATACTCCAGATGTGGCCTCACCAAAGCCGAATAAAGGGGAATAATCTTTAATATTTTAATAATGGAGATTGCCTATCTCCTAGAACTGGAAGGGACCTTGAAAGGTCGAGTCCAGTCCCCTGCCTTCACAGCAGGACCAAGTACTATCCCTGATGAATTTTTGCCCCAAATCCCTAAATAGCCTCCGCAAGGATTGAACTCACATCTCTGGATCTGCTGGCAATGCTCCTCTTAATACAACCTAATATGCCATTAGCCTTCTTGGCTACAAGGGCACACTGTTGACTCATATCCAGCTTCTCATCCACTGTAACCCCCAGGTCCTTTTCTGCAGAACTACTACTTAACTGGTTGGTCCCCAGCTTGTAACTATGCTTGGGATTCTTCCGTCCCAAGTGCAGGACTCTACACTTGTCCTTGTTGAACCTCATCAGATTTCTTGTGGCCCAATCCTCCAATTTGTCTAAGTCTCTCTGGACCCTATATCTGCCCTTAAGCATATCTACCTCTCCCCTCAGCTTAGTGTCATCCGCAAACTTGCTGAGGGTGCAATCCATCCCCTCATCCAGGTCATTAATAAAGATATTGAACAAAACCGGTCCTAGAACCGAACCTTGGGGCACTCCCCTAGAAACCGACCGCCATCCTGACATTGAGCCGTTGATCACTACCCGCTGGGCCCGGCCTTCTAGCCATCTTTCCATCCATCTTACCGTCCATTTATCCAATCCACAATCCCTTAACTTGCTGGCAAGAATATTGTGGGAGACCGTATCAAAAGCCTTGCTAAAGTCAAGGTATATAACATCCACTGACTTCCCCATGTCCACCGAGCCAGTTACCT